GGGTGGGCAAGTAATTCAGGCAAGACCTGAGGCCCTGGGAGCCCTGGGTAAATTCTAATATGAGGATGCGAGGGTACAGGGGCCTACAGAGGCCCAGACTGCCACAGGCCATTTGCCACCTCGCGGGCAAAGGGTCTCCTTAGGAAAAGCAGAGTCCACAGATGAAGGGAGACTGTACCTGGTGGACTTCCATAGTATTTCTGTCACTAGCCGTCAATGAGCCCTGAATGAGCTGGCTTGTTTATACACTGGTCATCTGTAAGTTTGGTGAGCACAAGTCAGTCGTCTAGGACCTGGACAGCCTGGTAGCATGGGGGTCACCTTCCCACATGCTGCCCCAGGAAGCCCTCATGGGGCAACCTCACCACCTCCCTCTCTGGCCCAACCTTCTTCTCTAGCCTAGTGGTGCTGCTGGTTGAGCTGGGGACTGACCAGAGCAGGACCCGGCACCATATCAAGCTCCAAGCAGCAAGAATGTACATGCATCCTCTCAGAGCCTAAAAGGCAAATTCTCAAAGCCTATTTTTACCCAGAACCCAAGGTAATTAAAAAATGGGCGAGACACAAATCAGAGACTTCTTAGAGAACTGGAAACCAAGAATAAAAGTATTTACATAAAACAAATTCATACTCAATCCAAATACAAAATTGTCATGAGGCGATGACAAAACCTGGTAGGGGTGGGGAGAAATCCAGCCAATGACACCTGGGCCTCATTTGTTCACCCTCCCTGAGTAAATGCTGTACGCAGGGAAAAGCCCTCAGGCACCACTGTGTGGGAGCCTCCTGGGGGCGCCTGGGCAGGTCCAGCGGCTGCATTCCCCAGCATTCCCTGCACTCTCACTGGCCCTGTGTTATCTGGCTGACCTGCATCAACTGGGGTGCTGGGGTCACCAGGAGAGCTCTGTCAGCTCTCAACACTCACCCTGACCTATGGAATCAGAACTTGGGGGTGTGGGGGAGAATGCCGTGCAGACATGCATGTGTCCAGGGCAGAGATGACCATGGCTCGAGCTTGGGGAAACTCAAACCCAAGGGGACCACCAGACCTGCCCATCCCCACAACACCCAATGTGTTGGAGCCCATTAGTCCTAATCCCACTTTTCCAACAGATCTACCATCTGTTCATACACATACCAACTGGGGTGGGAAGAAGCATTTGAGTGTCTCCGCAGCTGGGTCCCACCCTACCTCTACCAGTGACCTGAGTTCTCAGGGAATGGAGAAGGGGCTCACGGTGCCATGACTATTGCTGCTGCTGTTACTACTTAGACTCTGTACCAAGAATAAAGTGTGAAAGGCACTGGCCCAGAGTAGACCACTGGGTTCAGGCCTCAGTGGCACCACTTCCTGGATGTGACACCTGGGCAAGGGACTTCATTCTTCTAAGCACTGATTCTCTCAACTGTAAAATAGGCTTAATATCATAGTCTACCTACCTTAGAAGGTCAAAATGAGGTTAAAAAGACAATGTACATAAACACAGACTCGGAATAATCAGAAAATAACCATTAGTTCATATCATTGTTGGGTCACCTCCCAGTTCAGGGAAGATCTAGGGGGGGTGCAGAGAGAACCCACATCTGCATCTACAAGGGTTAGATTCATTGCCAAATAACTATCAGAGAATCATTACAAGGGAAAGATTAAACTCTCAAAACTCTTACCTGCAGTGGTCAAAAGGTAAACGACGAAAATTTGTTTGTGGGAGATCTGTTTAAAATTAAATAAAAGACTGAAAATACATTCTGTAAAAAATTGCACATATGTGTTCCTAGCAACAATTCAATTACATTTTAATAAAAAGTTCATGTAAATTACCTAGTGCAGCAATTGCTGTGGATTAAAAACCTTTCAGGGCCGGCCGAGTGGCTCAGCTGGTTAAAAGCTCGCTTGGGACACCAGCTCTGAGCAGCAGGGCTGCGGTTCGGATCCCACATTGAGGGCCAGTGATGCTCGCCCTCTACAGCTAAGATGGTGAACAACAGCTCAACCTGGAGCTGGGCTGCTGTGAGTCGCCGATGATGACGGCGTAGGCTGCAGCAGGGCTGCAGTGGTCTGCTGTGAGCTACGTGAGTGGCTGGTAGCCAGTGTGAGCTACCGGGAGCCACTGTGAGCTGCCGGGAGCCGCTGTGAGCAGCCGACCAATGACCGGCGACTGACTGCCTCACCCGGGAAGAGCACAATGATAATACCAACATGGGCCAGTGAAGCGACGTCCTCCACAACTAGGCTG